AAAGCTTTAGAACTGAAAAGCATGCTTTTGTTTTGCAGGAACCCCATTACTGTTTACCGTGGGACATGTGGTCGAAAAGGGCGCACATCGAGTGCGTGCAGTAGGCGTTGATCTACAACGGGCCGAAGTTAATAAAATGCAAACGTTCAACCTGTATACAAAGGAAGCTGGTGGAGGAGAACTTAAAGTAACAGTGGAGGGGCCATCGAAAGCCGAAATGCATATCCACGAAAATGGGGTGAGAACTGGGATTGTCATGCAGCTGAGGGGCGCTTTGCCCACTTCGGGCATATTTATCGTTTTTGTGCGTTGCAGGATGGAAGCTGTAGTGTCGATTATAAAGTGAGCAAATCGGGTGAATATGTTATGGGCATCAAATTCAACAATGAGCATATACCGGAATCACCTTTCAAAGTCTGTTGGCTTTCTTTCCGCTTATTTTTACTTTGATGGTTCTTTTTTTTTTATTTTTATTTCTTTTTTTTTTTTTTGTTGGACCGCACCACTTCTAGGTCTACATTTTTCAAATTTGTTTTTGTTTTGTTCAACCGCACTTTTTCCAGGTCTACGTGCCACCAGTCACCGATGAAGCTGTGCCGCTCGAGTTGGCATCATTTCCGGAATGGGGTGCGCCAGGCAAAAAATGTGCCTTCTCAGTTCTTGCAAACTGTGCACCAAATCAGCTTGAGGCTAAAGTGCGCACGCCGAGCAACAAAATCAAACCGGTTGAAATTATCCAAGCGGCTGATGGCGAGTCGTACACTTTTCAATTCATTCCTTCCGAGGTGTGTTTTTTTAATTTTTTTTTCCTTTCGATTTGCACCTTTGCTTCGAGCTGACCTTCAAGCAGACTTGCAAAAATTTAGGTCCGAGGGTCGTTCACTGATCCGAAAATAGTGTTTAAGCATTCATTGAATCCCCGCGTGTTTTCAGACTGGTGTCCATTATATTGATGTGACACTTAATGGTTTACCGATACGCAATTCGCCTTTTGGTTTGCGCATTCGAGCAGATTGTGATCCAACAGCTGTAATAGTGAGTGGCGCTGGTATTCGTAATGGACACACTGGTCGTGAATGTGAATTCATGGTGAACACGAAAGATGCTGGCTCGGGACTTCTTCAAATTCAAGTTGATGGACCATCAAAAGTCACGCTTGATGCATGTGAGGTAAAAGTGACAA